CGGCGAGTCACCATGTCTAGGTTTTTAACATGCTGGTTTTGTGGGGATGGTGTCCAGGAGCTTGGCTTGAGGATATGGCTTCTGCGAGATATCAGAGCTAGAAGTAATAATCTGGGAATGACACAGAGAGAGGTAATAGGGATGCTGAAGCAACGCCTGCAATTGCCAAGTGGGGAATAAGGTAGTGAGGAGGACCGAGGATGGGGTTTGGAGGAATGTTGACATTTGGATAGTACAAGAGAGACTGGATTTGAGTGGCTGAAAGGTAGAAGGAATGTCAAGTTGTTAACTTTATTCCAAACTAAGAATAAAAAGACCCTATAGGAGACAAGGGTTTGTCAGGGATTAGGAAGAGGGAAGGGTCAGACTGCAAAGGCCTAACAAGGAGATTTGGGGCAGTGTTGGAATTGTTCTGTTTCCTGGAAGCAATGATAACAAGAATCTTTGCTTGTGTTAAAACTCACATGACTGTGTGTGCAAAAAGGAGTTTATTTTACTGTATATACATTAAGAAATAAAAAGGAGAACATGTAAGAAAGGCGGTAAAAGACCAATGGATTTTATCAGAGGTCACATATTCAAAGAGCAACTGTCCTTTTTATCATCTTTAGAATTTCCCATCCCATTTATCTTACTGATTCTTTCTCCCACAGCCATAGAGAATGACAAGGAGAAAAACTATTAGGTTAATGCTTTTGATACTGCAATATATGTATTCTAGGACTAAACAAGTAAATATGTAGGAGATGGTAGGAGTCATCTTCCTCATTACTGCAGTGGAAATTTATAGATAAGCAAGGAGAGGAGGCTAAAATGATCCATGTGGTAATAGATTAGAGTTGGAGAAATCAGTGAAAACTCCTTAATTTATTATAGATACAGATGGTCATGTGTGTGTGTGTGTGTGTGTGTGTGTGTGTGTGTGTGTGTGTTGGTGTATGTATATTTATATGGATATATACTCATATGTTTCTTTGTTGTGTCAGCTGAGAGGACCTATAAGAAACAATACCCCAGTATCAATGAGCACATTTAGTACTCAGATCTTGCTTTCTAATACCATTCTCCAACAAAAGTAACCAG